TGAGACCCCCCAAAATCCCCCCAGACCCCCTCCCCGGGTACCTGCAGGGCGGGGAAGGCCATGGCCACACCCAAACTATCCCTTAAATCCCCAAACCTATCCCAAAACCCTGCTGAAATCCACCCAAATCCCCCTCCCACATTCACCTGGGAACCAAAAACACCCCAAAACCCCCTGGAGACCCCCCCAAAATCCCAAAAAATCCCCCAAATCCTCTCCCCGGGTACCTGCAGGGTGTGGAAGGCCATGGCCACACCCAAACTATCCCCAAAATCCCCCTTAAATCCCAAAAATTGCCCTCCCAAACTCCCACGGGCACCTGGGTATCCAAAACACCCCAAAATACCCCCAAAATTCCCCAAACCCCCCCCAAAATCCCCTCAGACCCCTCCCCGGGTACCTGCAGGGCGGGGAAGGCCATGGCCACACCCAAACTATCCCTTAAATCCCCAAACCTGCCCCCAAAACCCCCCTGAAACCCCCCCAAATCTCCTTCCCACGGGCACCTGGGAACCCAAAACCCCCCAAAACCCCCTCGAGACCCCCCAAAATCCCCCCAGACCCCCTCCCCGGGTACCTGCAGGGCGTGGAAGGCCATGGCCACACCCAAACTATCCCTTAAATCCCCAAACCTGCCCCCAAAACCCCCCTGAAACCCCCCCAAATCTCCTTCCCACGGGCACCTGGGAACCCAAAACCCCCCAAAATCCCCTCGAGACCCCCCAAAATCCCAAAAAATCCCCCCAGACCCCCTCCCTGGGTACCTGCAGGGCGGGGAAAGCCATGGCCACGGCCGTGTTGCTGGCCCAGTTGACGAGTCCGGCCAGGGCCAGCGCGGCCCCGCGGGGCCCCGGGGGGAAGAGTTCGGCCCCCACGAACCAGGGGAGGGGTCCCGGACCCACCGCGAAAAACCCCACAAAGGCCAGGGCGGCCCCCAGAGCCAGAGCGCCCCAAACCGGACCCCCGAGCTGGGGAAAGGGGGACCCCGAAAGTCAGAGGGAGGAGGGACCCCAAAAATCACAGGGAGGGGGGGAAATGGAGAGGAAAATTGGGGATTTTGGGGTTTTTGGGTAGAAATGGGGGAAATTTGGGGATGGGGAGGGGGATTCTGAGGGCCTGAGGGTGTTGAGGAACTCCCCCAGGAAGAGAGCCCCGAGCTGGGAAAGGGGGAACCCCGAAAGTCAGAGTGAGGAGGGACCCTAAAAATCACAGGGAGGGGGAAAATGGAGAGGAAAATTGGGGATTTTGGGGTTTTTGGGGAAGTTTGGGGGAAATTTGGGGATGAGGAGGGGGATTCTGAGGGGCTGGAGGTGTTGGGGACTCCCCCAGGAAGGAAACCCAGAGATGGGAAAGGGGGGACCCCGAGAGTCAGAGGGAGTGGGGACCCTGAAAATCACGGGGAGATGGGAAATGGAGAGGAAAATTGGGGATTTTGGGGTTTTTGGGGAAGTTTGGGGGAAATTTGGGGATGAGGAGGGGGATTCTGAGGGGCTGGAGGTGTTGGGGACTCCCCCAGGAAGGGAACCCCGAGCTGGGAAAGGGGGGACCCCGAAAATCACGGGGAAAGGGGACCCCAAAAATCACAGGGAAGGGGAAAGAGAGAAAGGAAAATCGGGGATTTGGGGTTTTTTGGGGGGAAATGGGGGAATTTTGGGGATGAGGAGGAGGGGTTTGGGGGACTGGGGGTGTTGAGGACCCCCCCAGAAAGGAACTGTGCAGATGGGAAAGGGGAGACCCCAAAAACGAGGTTGAGGGGGGACCCCGAAAATCGTGGGTGGGATGGGGGAGAAATGGGGAATATTGGGGTGGGGATTGGGGTGAATTTGGGGGTTCAGGGCTGGATTTGGGGGGGTTCAGGTGGAGTTTGGGGGGCTCAGGGTGGAGTTTGGGATTTGGGGGCGGGGTCCAGGTGGATTTTGGGGTCCCCCACCCCCCCCCCAGCTCACCTTGAGGGCCACGCCCAGGGTGGCGGCGCACGCCATCATTCCCAGGAGCCCCACGAGCTGCAGCAGCCGGCGCCCCGCCCGCTCCACCAGCACCACCTGCGGGGGCGGGGCTTCAGCCGGGGCCACGCCCACACTGGGCCACGCCCACTGTGGAGACCCCACCCCATCACCTGACCCCTCCCCCCCCCGGAACGGGCCCCAGGGTTACCCCACCCCCTGAGGACCACACCCATCATGAGACCCCACCCACCCCAAAATGAGACCACTCCCCCTCAGGGCCATACCCAAGAGACCACGCCCACAGGTCCCTCCGTGACCACACCCACCCAAAAGTCCCCACCCCATCGGGACCACGCCCAGCCCAGGTTACCCCACCCCCCATCCCCAGGTGCTCTGTGGGCGTGGCCGTGGGCGTGGCTCACCGACAGGGCGGTGGCGGCCACGTTGACCACGCCCGTGCCGATGGTGCCGACGGCCGGGTCCTGTAGCCCCGCCCCCTCAAAGATGGACGTCGAGTAGTAAAAGATCTGGGGAGGGAGAGGGGTGTGGTCAGATGGACACGCCCCTTCAAGCCACGCCCCCTCTGGCCACACCTCCAGGAAGCCCCACCCCAAAACTCCCCCAATCCCATTGGGCCACACCCTCATGGCCACGCCCTGTCCCAAAGGAGCCACGCCCATGAGACTCCTCCCCTTTAGGCCCTTCCCCTTTGACCCCACCCCTAAATGCTCCACCCTGTTAAGGCCCGCCCCTCGTTCTGCCTCTGACCCCGCATCTTTGGGCCCTGTTAAGCTCCGCCCAATCCAGTGATCATTGAGATCTGCATTTTGTGGCCCGGCCTCCTTCATCATAAGCCCCGCCTATTTCCCCACAGGCCACGCCCCTTTCCCATCATTTCCCACCAGTTTTTCCCTATTTTCAATTTATTTTTCCCTTTTTTATCACGTTTATCCCCAAGACTCGCTGCTGGTGCAGCCCCAGGGTGATTATCATGGCCACACCCACTTCCCCACAGACCACGCCCCTTTTCCCATAAACCCCGCCCATTTTCCCCATTTTTGGAGTTGTTTTTCCCGTTTTTACCGCGTTTATCCCCGAGAGCTGCTGCGCCAGCTGCAGCCCCAGGGTGACGATCAGCGGCTGCCGGTACCGGCGGCTCCGCAGCAGCTCCAGCAGCCCCACCCTGGGGGCGGGGCCTCGGCCAAGCTCCGCCTCCAGCGCCGCCAGTCCCGCCTCCGCCGCCGGCCC